AGGTACAAACAAGCCCAAACTGCAAAGACTACAATAAATACCTAACTCTTCAATGCCCAGACATGATATCAAGACCATCCAGGAAAAGAGGACATCACAAAATGAACTAAATAAGGCAGCAAGGAACAATACTGGAGAAACAGATGTATGACCTTTCAGACAGAGAATTCAAAATAGCTCTATTGAGTAAACTCAAAGAAATTCAAGATAACACCAAGAAGGAATTCAGAATTCTACCAGATAAATTTAACAAAGAGATTGAAAAAAATTTTTAAAAATTGAGCAGAAATTCTGAAGCTGAAAAATGTAATTGGCATGCTAAAGAATGCATGAGAGTCCTTTAACTGCAGAAGGGATCAAACAGAAGGATTAGTGAGATTGAAGACAGGTTATTTGAAAATACACAGTCAGGGCTGGGCACGGTAGCTCATGCCTGTAATCCCATCACTTTGGGAGGCCAAGTGGGCAGATCATGAGTCCAGGAGTTCCAGACCAGCCTGGTCAACATGGTGAAACCCCATCTCTACTAAAAATACAAAAATTAGAAGGGCATGGTGGTGTGCGCCTGTAATCCCAGCTACTCCAGAGGCTGAGGTAGGATAATCACTTGAACCTGGGAGGCAGAGGTTGCAGTGAGCCAAGATTATGCCACCGTACTCCAGCCTGGGCAACAAAGCAAGACTCTGTCTCAAAAAAAAAAGAAAAAAAAGACTACCTCAAGGCATTGAATGATCCAACTTTCTTTTTTTTTTTTTTTTGAGATGGAGTCTCACTCTGTCGCCCAGGCTGGAGTACTGTGGCGCAATCTTGGCTCACTGCAACCTCCACCTCACGGGTTCAAATGATTCCCCTGCTTCAGCCTCCCGATTAGCTAAGATTACAGGCACGCACCACCATGTCCGGCTAATTTTTTATTTTTAGTAGAGACAGGGTTTCACCATATTGGCCAGGCTGGTCTTGAACTCCTGAACTCAAGTGATTCACACCCACCTCGGCCTCCCAAAGTGCTGGGATTACAGGTGTGAGCCACCGCGCCTGGCCAAATAATCCAACTTTCTTTTTTTTCTGGTTTTTTATTTTTTTGAGATGGAGATTTGCTCTTGTTGCCCAGGCTGGAGTGCAATAGTCCAGCCTTGGCTCACTGCAACCTCCACCTCCCGGGTTCAAATGATTCTCCTGCCTCAGCCTCACAAGTAACTGGAATTACAGAGGCCCGCCACCACACCCAGCTAATTTTTATATATTTTGTATAGACGGGGTTTCACAATGTTGGCCAGGCTGGTCTCGAACGCCTGACCTCAGGTGATCCACCCGCCTTGGCCTCCCTAAGTGCTGGGATTACAGGTGTGAGCCACCACGCCCGGCCAAATAATTCAACTTTCAATGAATAAAGAAAGGATTAGGGCAGTTACTCTGCCCTAAAGAAAAGGACAGTTACTCTAGTGACTCACGCCTATAATTCCAGCACTTTGGGAGGCCGAGGTGGGAAGATCACTTGTGCCCAAGAGTTTGAGAACAGCCTGGGCAGCATAGTAAGACCCTGCCTCTACATTCAAAAAAAAAAAAAAAAGGCAGAAAGAAAAGGACGTAGGCCGAGTGCAGTGGCTCACAGCTGTAATCCCAGCATTTTGGGAGGCCGATGCAGGTGGATAACGTGAGGTCTGGAGTTCGAAACCACCCTGGCCAACGTGGTGAAACCCTGTCTCTACTAAAAACACAAAAATTAGCCAGGTCTGGTGGCAGGTGCCTGTAATCCCAGCTACTTGGGAGGGTGAGACACAAGAATCACTTGAACCCGGGGGGCAGAGGTTGCAGTAAGCTGAGATCATGCCACTCCATTCCAACCTGGGCAATACAGCGTGACTCCATTTCAATGAAAAAAAAAAGAAAAGGACATTAATGAGCAATAAGAAATCATCTGAGGGTATATATAGTAAGTACACAAAAAGACACAGTATATTATAACACTGTAACTATGGTGTGTAAACTACTCTTATCTTTAGAAAGACTAAACAATGAGTTTAGTGAGGCAGTGCCTCATGCCTGTAATTCCAGCACTTTGGGAGACCAAGGCAGGCAGATTACGAGGTCAGGAGATCAAGACCATCCTGGCTAACATGGTGAAACCTTGTCTCAACTAAAAAATACAAAAAAATTAGCCAGGCGTGGTGGCGGGCACCTGTAGTCCCAGCTGCTCGGGAGGCTGAGGCAGAAGAATCACTTGAACCCAGGAGGCGGAGGTTGCAGTGAGCCGAGATTGCACCACTGTACTCCAGCCTAGGCAACAGAGCGAGACTCTGTCTGATTAAAAAAAAAAGAAAAAAAAAAGACTAAACAATGAGTCAATCAAAAATAATAACTACTATAACTTTTCAAGACACTGATAGTACAATAAGATATAAATAGAAACAATAAAAAGTTAAAAAGCAGGGAGACAAAGTAAAGGTGTAGAGTTTTTATTAGTTTTCTTTTTGCTTGTTTGTTTATACAGTGTTAAATTATCAGCTTAAAATAATAGGCTATAGAAAAGTATTAGTGAGCCTCATGGTAACCTCCAATCAAAAAACATACAACAAGGCCGGGCGTGGTGGCTTACACTTAAAATCCCAGCACTTTGGGAGGCCAAGGCGGGCAGATCATGAGGTCAGGAGTTCAAGGCCAGCCTGACCAACATGGTGAAACCCTGTCTGTACTAAAAATACAAGAAAAAAAAATTGCTGGGCGTGGTGGTGTGCACCTGTAATTCCAGTTACTCAAGAGGCTGAGGCAGGAGAATCTCTTGAACCCAGGAGGTGGAGGATGCAGTGAGCCGAGATTGCGCCACCGCACTCTAGCCTGGGTGACACAGCAAGACTCCATCTCAAAAAAAAAAAAAAGCATATAACAGATACACAAAAAATAAAAAGTAAGAAACTGAATTGTATCACCAGAGAAAATCATGTTCATTAAAGGGAAGAAAGGAAGGAAAAAAAGAAGACCACAAAACAACCAGAAAACAAAATGGTGGGACTAAGTCCTTACTTATCAATAACATTGAACGTATCTAAGCATGGTGGGATATAACAAAAGCAGCTATAAGTGCCTATATCAAAACAGAAGAAAAACTTCAAATAAACAACCTAAATATGCATTTCTTTTTTTTTTTTTTTGAGATGGAGTTTCGCTCTTGTTGCCCAAGTTGGAGTGCAATGGCGTGATCTTGGCTCATTGCAACCTCCACCTTCTGGGTTCAAGCGATTCTCCTGCCTCAGTCTCCCAAGTAACTGGGATTACAGGCACACACCACCACGCTCAGCTAATTTTTTTTTTTTTTTGTATTTTTAGTAGAAACGGGATTTCACCATATTAGCCAGGCTGGTCTCAAACTCCTGACCTCAGGTGATCCACCTGCCTCGGTCTCCCAAAGTGCTGGGATTACAGGCGTGCGCCACTGCATCTGGCAAATATGCGTCTTAAAGAACTAGAAAAGCAAGAGTAAACCAAACCCAAAATGGGGAGACTAAATAATAAAGATCAGAGCAGAAATAAATGAAACTGAAATTAAGAAAACCATACAAAAGATCATGAAACAAAAAGTTGGTTTTTTGAAGTTAAATGAAATTGATAAACCTTTAGCCAGACTAAGAAAAAAGGAGAGAAGACCCAAATAAATAAAATCAGAGATGAAAAAGAAGACATTACAACAAATACTGCAGAAATTCAAAGGATCATTAGTGGCTACTACGAGCAACCATATGCCAATCAATTGGAAAACCTAGAGGAAATGGCCATATTCCTAGACAGATTCAATCTATTAAGATTGAACCAGGCCGGGCGCGGTGACTCAAGCCTGTAATCCCAGCACTTTGGGAGGCCGAGACGGGTGGATCACGAGGTCAGGAGATCGAGACCATCCTGGCTAACACGGTGAAACTCCGTCTCTACTAAAAAATACAAAAAACTAGCCGGGCGTGGTGGCGGGCGCCTGTAGTCCTAGCTACTTGGGAGGCTGAGGCAGGAGAATGGCGTGAACCCGGGAGGTGGAGCTTGCAGTGAGCTGAGATCCGGCCACTGCACTCCAGCCTGGGCGACAGAGCGAGACTCCGTCTCAAAAAAAAAAAAAAAAAAAAAGATTGAACCATGAAGAAATAAAAACTTGAGAGCAATAACAAGTAACGAGATGGAAGCCATAAAGTGTCCCAGCAAAGAAAAGCCCGGGACCTGATGGCTTCACTGCTCAATTCTACCAAACATTTAAAGAATAATACCAATCCTATTCAAACTATTCCAAAAAATAGAGGAGGAAAGACTTCCAAACTCAATCCATGAGGATAGTGTTACCCTGATAGCAAAACCAGACAAAGACATAGCAAAATAAACAAACAAACAAACAAAAAACTACAGGCCAACATCTCTGATGAATATTGATGCAAAAATCCTCAACAAAATACTAGCACACCAAATTCAAAATACACTAAAAAGATCATTCATCATTCATCAAGTGGGATTTATCCCTGAGACGTAAGGATGGTTCAACATACACAAATCAGTTAATGTGATAAACTCTTGACTAGAAAAGTTGTGAGAAACCACAATGTTTTCATGGCAGTCTACTTAAACACAGTTTTCTAGAAGCACTTACAGAAAAAATAAGCATCTTTTTAGTTTAAGTGCACTTATTATGTCCCGATATAATAGGATTGACTCCAACAGATGATGGTCTAACCCAATTATTCTGTGAAATTCTAAAGCAATCTCTCCAAAAGGTTGGCAATTGTAGCCAGCAGGCCAAATCCAGCGTACTGCTTGTTTTCATGAATAAAGTTTACTGGAACACAGCCATGTCTATTCACTTATGTATTATCTATGGCTGTTTTAACTACAACAGCAGAGTTGAAAAGTTGCAACAGGGACTGATGGCCTACAAAGCCTAAAATATTTACTATCTGGCATCTTACAGAAATTGCTGACCCCTGCTCTAGACAAGCAATCCAAGAAGGAATCAAAACTGTTAGACTCACCTGAGGCGTTGTCTTTTTGTACTGGTCACCTCCATCTATCACATCCCTCATGATTCTTCCCTTAAGAAATTCATATTCTTCTGGACTCAGCTGAATAGACTCTATGGTTTTTCCACAGCCCAAACACTGGCCACTGTAATTATAATTGTTAAATAACAATATTTAAATATGTCAAATAATGTTCTGAGGAAAAATTTTTGTGAAATGAACAATGAGGAAATTAAAAGGTAATAAAAAAGAACATTAAAACCTTTGTAATAATCACATACATCTAATTTTTTATAAACCTGATAATATCACAAATTAGTGTGCCAGAAAACCCAAAAAAGTAGACTGGTCATTTGAATGACTTTTTTTTTTTTTTTTTTTGAGACAAGGTCTCACTCTTGCCCAGGCTGGAGTGCAGTGTCACAATTATGGCTCACTGCATCCTCAAGCTCCCAGGATCAAGGGATCCTCCTGCCTCAGCCACCAAAGCAGCTAGGACAACAGGTACGTGCTACCCTACCTAGCTAATTTTTGTATTTTGGCGCCTAATTTTTGTATTTTTTCTAGAGACAGGGTTTCTCAATGTTGCACAGGATGGTCTTGAACTCCTGGGCTTGAGCAATCTGCCAAGTCAGCCTCCCAAAGTGTTGGGATTACAGGTACAGGCAGGCATGAGCTACCATGCCTGACTCAGGTGACTTTTTTTTTTTTTTTGAGACAGAGTCTCGCTCTATCACCAGGATGGAGTGCAGTGGCACAATCTTGGCTCACTGCAACCTCCGTCTCCTGGGTTCAAGCAATTCTCCTGCCTCAGTCTCCCAAGTAGCTGGGACTACAGGCACACACCACCACACCCAGCTAATTTTGGTATTTTTAGTAGAGACTTGGTTTCAACATGTTGGCCAGGATGGTCTCAAATCTCCTGACCTCGTGATCCACCTGCCTCAGCCTCCCAAAGTGCTGGGATTACAGGCGTGATGGCGCCCAGCTCGCATGACATTTTTAAAGTAATTCCTATTATGTGAAATATCATATTGGTGAATTAAATAAATAAATAAATCCTAAAACACAACTGGGTCTGGAACCTCTAGGGAAAAACATCTCTAAGACATCATAAAGGCTCATAATACGCACTGGAAAAACGTTTTGGGTACTGCTACGTCTCTGTATGCAAAGTATGTTTTTTTCCTCAGATACTCTAATTACAAACTTGTAATTATCCTATCCTTAAGATGTTCTTAAATATTTTTCAATCAATAGCAACAAAACCTACTAAACTGAAAACAAACAAGTTAAAAATAAACATTGGTCTTCACCTTTTTTGGACTGTGGTGAATTGTCCTTTCCATTGTTTTCCAGGAACACTATGAAGATTGCAAAACCAAATCATGAGGTTAGATTCCTACTGAAATGAAAGACATTCATGATATTTGGAAACTCTTATAAGCAAGAACTCCGAAAAGTTCAAGATACTTCTGTAGAATGGTTTAATTTAAAAAGTGGCAGATATCCTGCATGAGGTTAAGAAGCTGCTGGTACCCTGTTCTGAATTTCCTTCTTCCCTATGGTTCTCCTCCCACCAACTAACTCTCATCTTCAAGTCTACAGAAAGCAGCTGACCTTAGTAGCATAACCTCTATACCAAACTCAACTCTTACCTTCTCCATAAAGCTGCCAGAAATTGCTCCTGCTCAGAGTAATTTACCTCTTACCACTATTATTTCACTGTGTGGTATTGTACTCCCAATTAAATTGAGAATGTCATAAAAGATTTTATAAAACACTGGCAATGCCTAGCCTATTTGGAAGCATTCAAAAGCTATGTATTGATGTATTTGTTCAATCAACGTATCCTCTCCTCCTTCCTCTTCCACATATTACCATCAGTTCTTCTGATTCTACTGCCTTCTTTCCTTCCTCAGTTCTTAATTCTCATCATCTCTCATCTAAACCTAAAATTGTATTCACGCAGATCTCCCTGTTTTCAATCTTAATCCCTCTCCTATCTACTCTTCTCACTTGGCAATTGCCTTTGTAAAACTCCATTCCAGCATTTTTTTTTTTCTTTTGAGACAAGGTCTTGCTCTGTCACCCAGGTTGGAGTGCATGGCACAATCACGGCTCCCTGCAGCCTTGATTCCCTAGATTCAAGTGATCCTCTTGCTTCAGTCTCCAAGTAGCTGGGACTACTGGCACACACCGCCATGACAGGCTAAATTTTGTATTATCTGTAGAGACAGGGTTTCGCCATGTTGCCCAGGCTGGTCTCAAACTCCTGGCCTCAAGCTATCCTCCCACCTCAGTCTCTAAAAGTGCTCAGATTACAGGCATGAGCCACAGTTCCCGGCCAAATTCAGCATTCTTGATCAGAGAATAAAATTCAAACTCCTTGGTATTCAAAAATTTTCACAACCGGGCTCCTCCTCCCTTGATATTCAATAAGATAATTAAGCATAATTACTACTTCAAAGCTCTGTAAACATGATATAGAAAAAAAAAGACAAGGCCAGGTGCAGTGGCTCAAGCCTGTAATCCCAGCACTTTGGGAGGGTGAGACGGGCGGATCACGAGGTCAGGAGATCGAGACCATCCTGGCTAACACGGTGAAACCCCATCTCTACTAAAAAATACAAAAAAAACTAGCCAGGTGAGTTGGCGGGCGCCTGTAGTCCCAGCTACTCGGGAGGCTGAGGCAGGAGAATGGCATAAACCCGGGAGGCGGAGCTTGCAGTGAGCTGAGATCCTGCCACTGCACTCCAGCCTGGGCAACAGAGCGAGACTCCATCTCAAAAAAAAAAAAGAAAAAAAAAGACAAAAGAAAAACTACCTCAGGTGATCCGCCCAGCCTATTCTGTCTACTCTCTATAGTTCATGAACTTGGATGATATGGCTTATTTATATTATCTGTCATCTATAATCTCACTATTGAAATGTAAGCTGTGGCTAGGTGCAGTGGCTCACGCCTGTAATCCCAGCACTTTGGGAGGCCGAGGCGGGCAGACCACCTGAGGTAGTTGAGACCAGCCTGACCAACATGGAGAAACTCCATCTCTACTAAAAAGAAAATACAAAATTAGCTGGGCGTGGTGGCACATGCCTGTAATCCCAGCTACTTGGGAGGGTGAGGCAGAATTGCCTGAACCCGGGAGGCGGAGGTTGCAGTGAGCCAAGATCGCACCACTGCACTCCAGCCTGACAACAACAGCAAAACTCTGTCTTCAAAAAAAAAAAAAAAAAGACAGTGAGTAGACAGAATAAATATAAGCACATAATCACATTTTCAGAGGAACTTCTGAAAATACTAATATGGCCCGAGTTCCAGTCAAATGCTATATTCTTTTCTTGCTATGAACACTGGCCATAAGTAGTATTAAGTACTCACATCATACTAGATGCCTAAGAAAACAAAATTAATGATCCTTCTAAAAGGAAAAAAATACATAAAAGTGCTATAAAATTTCACTTTTATGTGATGGGTAAAGATTAGCACAAATTATGTATGCTGCTACTTTTTTTAAAGAGAGAAAATTTTGTCTTAAAGAGAAAATAAACCTTACTAAGAGATGGAAAAAAGTATAATCAGAATAGAATGATTCTCAGCAACTAACAACAAAAAAGAGTGGCTACTTTGAGGTTTAAAGTTCTTAAGTTAAAAATAATTAGCCAGGTATGGTGGCACACGCCTGTAGTTTTAGATACTCAGGAGACTGAAGCGAGAGGATCACTTGAGGCCAGGAGTTTGAGATTACAGGGAGCTATGAACACACCACTGCACTCCAGTCTGGGCAACAGAGCAAGACCCTGCCTCAAAAAAAAAAAAAATTAAAGAATAAAAACATACATATAAAAAAGTCAAAATTACCTCTCAAACCATGTTTTTATACTGTGTGCAAATGATTCCCCTGGATACAGCTGATTATTTCTTAGATATGAAAGAATATCTAGTAGTTTATTTGAATAATTATCATCCTTTATGTCTTTTCCAAAATCAAAGAAAGCTTTTAAAGTTTCCAACATAGGAACAAAATCATGACCTAGCAATTCCTGATACAAATTCCAAGCTGTGTTTATATCTTGATGAAGGAGAGCTCCCTGGATACAGTCATTATAGTTCTTTTTAGAAGGAGTGATAACTTTTTTGATGTCCTCTAACAGCAACAATGATTCTCTCCATCTGTCTGAATGGATCAGTCCCTGGATGAGAAGACTGTAACCTCCAGGTTCTAAAGTCTTATATCTGGTTTTCATAATTTCAAAGACATCAATAACTTCAGATGTCTGCATATGAAAGACACAGAGATACAAATACCCGACCAGTAAATCATAACTTACGATACCATTATTTTTTGCTGCTACCCATGCCAGCAGAGATTTAGCCACATCTACAGAGCTATGAGAGTGAGCCATCTGTGAAATGATGAATCTTTCAAAACTGGTCTTTCCTTTGAAATCCGCCTTAAGTTTATCCCACTCCTCTGAATTCAAAGGTTGTGTTGGGAGTTGAATAGTGTTCCTCACAGATGGCAAGGCATGATCTTTACTTTGAGGATTCATCTGTGATCTCTTCTTAGCTGCTCCAGCTGAAAAAAAATGAGGAACAGAAGAAACTTGCTTATTACTGCCCTCCTCTTTCCTGAGATATCTGGCCTTGGCAATCAGATTCGTTGCTTTGGTATTCTGTGGAGACATTGTTTTAAGAGAAAACAACCTCTGTTGGCTCCTGATGCCACAGCTGTCTGAAAGAAAGAGAGAGACATAAGAGTGCCCTGGGCCTAGCCCAAGGTATGGGTTGCTCTTCCAAAGCTTAGGAAAGCTTCGAATACCAAACAAATAGAAAGTCATTATGCAGTGAGATCAGCACCAGATAGTGAGAGAGATGTTGGAAAAAAACCCTCTTCTATAGCAAAGTTAAAGGGATTGGTGGTCGGCAGTGGAGAGTCGAAGTGCAGCTTTTTAAAAGAAGATTTGTGTTTCTTCCTTACAGACAAATCAAAGTTCTGCTTTTGGGGTTACTTAATAGCAAGAAGGCAGGTGAGTTTTCTCTATTAAACAACAATCCGGGGATGTCCAACGTCGCAAGCCGCAAACCAGGGGACAGAGCAGGAATCCTCTGGTGCCTCTTACATTCCAGTTCATGAACCTGAGGAAAAAGCACAAGAAGGAACGCCCAGTTTTACTCACGTGGATCACAGTTGTCCTGAAAAGGAACAGATTCCCACGGGAAGCTTGCTGGAAAGGGCGTATAAAGCCAAAACCGTATCCAGGAGCCTCCAACTCCAGCCCACCAGCAACAGCGGCGAAAGCCAAAGTCTAGGGGCCCTCACCCTGCATAACTCTCCAAAGACCGCAAAGCTCCTCCGATGGAGGGATGCGGAGGGAGGAGGTGGCGAGTCAGGTGCGCCAACGACTCGGGAAAGGAAGAGAGATCCAGGAAGGGCGCTGCCTAGACTGCGTACCTATCGCTGACAAACGAAGTTCACTTCATTCAACAACTCAACGCGGCACTCAGGCTTAACGCGGCCATAAACGCGGCGGGAACTACAGTGCCCACTATGCACCGCGCCAGCCCCGGCCGACTGACGAGACTGACCCGGACTTAGGCGTTCCGCCTGGGCTGGCGGCGAGGAAAAAAGGCAATTTTGAAGCATTTTGTGGCAAAAGGGGTAAGAGACGGCTGCGGAAGCGTCTACTACATTCAGGGGACCTGGAGGACTTACAGATATCCGCAATGAACAATGAAAAGAAATTGTGAAAGAAAGCGCTTCCCTCAAGCCGGAATCAATTAACTTCTGAGTCACGTGGTGCGCACGCGCCAAAGGCGCACGATAAAGGAAAACGCGGGCTTATCCTGCCTTTTAAAATCGGGCTTGGTGAGTTTGGGACGCCTCCTGAAGGGGAACCATTTTCCATCTCTTTCATAGCTTTGCCCCAGTCAGCGTGGTAGCGGTATTCTCCGCGGGAGTGACAGTAATTGTTTTTGCCTCTTTAGCCAAGACTTCCGCCCTTGTTCAAGATGGTGGTTGAGCGGCCTTCCTAACCTTTACGGGGCCTGGCGGTGCTGACGCCTGAGTTGGTAGGGGTGGAGCAGGTAGGAAACAGCAAATGCAGAAGCTGCTGCGCGAGAGTCGGCCATGGACTGGAAAGAAGTTCTTCGTCGGCGCTTAGCGACGCCCAACACCCGTCCAAACAGTGAGTTTTGGGAGGGGCCGTCCGTTGGGATGGCCCGGCCCTAAACTCCTAGAGGTAGGAGGGAGATGGGGAGGAGGAGCAAGGGGGAGCCGCACTTTCCGCTTCTGTGAAACCTCGCGACAAAGGAGGCGGAGTGGAATGTGCTTTAGGGATCCCGATAGGGTTGACCCAAACTTTCCTGGGACGGAGTCTGGGGGAACGAAAAACTTAGCCTTAGTCACTGACTTCCATGGTCTTAATCTAAACTTGTGAAGAATAACTTAGAACCCCGGATCCAACAACGCCTCAACCCCACCAGGACCTGTAATTGTCCTACCGCCTTTTTACTGTCACGCTTTTTGCTTCCCTCCTAATCCATTTTATATTTCATAATCCATTTTTCCTTTTATTTTTCTCCTTCACATTGCTTATTAACTAACCTCGTTAAATCTAGCTTTCCTATTCCACACCCGCACTAAGGGCTGTTGAAAGTGGCTGGAGAAAAACAGAACCTTGTCTCACTTTTTTTTTTTTTTTTTTGAGACGGAGTCTCTTGCTCTGTCGCCCAGGCTGGCTGGAATGCGGTGGCAGCATCTCAGCTCACTGCAGCCTCCGCCTCCCGGGTTCAAGCGATTCTTCTTCCTCAGCCTCGAGTAGCTGGAACTACAAGCGCGCGCCTCCACGGCGGGTTAATTTCTAGTAGAGACGGGGTTTCACCATATTGGTCAGGCTGGTTTCAAACTCCTGACCTCGTGATCCACCCACCTCGGCCTCCCAAAGTGCTGGAATTACAGTCGTGAGCTGCCGCGCCCCGCCGAGTTATCTCACTTTTAGTACATGTCCACTAAGCTAAAGTAGATGTTTCGGTCATGTCTGCCGTGTTTTCCTGGACGTTCATTCTCCTACATTCAATTTTCATCTTCCAAACTGCCAATCTGTGTTTCCCTAGATACACTATTTTTTTTTTTTTTTTTTAATTCAGGCTCTCCCTCTGTTGCCCAGGCTGGAGTGCAGCAGCACAGTGACGTCTCGCTGCAACCTCGATTTCCTGGGCTCAAAGGATCCTCCCACCTCAGCCTCCTAAGCAGCTGGAAGTACAGGCACACGCCACCACATCCACTAATTTTTTATTTTTAGTAGCGGTGAGGTCTTGCTATTTTAATAGGGCTGGTCTCGAATTCCTGGCCTCAGGCAGTCTTCCTACCTCCACCTTCCAAAGTGTTGCTATTACAGACGTGAGCGCCCAGGCAACACTCTTTTACAGTCCATTCTTCTCATCTCTTACACCTGCAGTCTGTCCTACCCACTTCTTACTTTAAGCTGATGAACTTTTTTTTAAATATATATCTCATTAAGAAAGGAGAATCAGTTGGCCGGGCGCGGTGGCTCAGGCCTGTAATCCCAGCATTTTGGGAGGCTGAGGCGGGCGGATCACGAGGTCAGCAGATCCAGACCATCCTGGCTAACACGGGGAAACCCCGTCTCTACTAAAAATACAAAAAAAATTAGCCGGTCGTGGTGGCGGGCGCCTGTAGTCTCAGCTATTCCACAGGTTGAGGCCGAAGAATCGCTTGAACCCGAGAAGCGGAGCTTGCAGTGAGCCGAGATTGCACCACTGCCCTTCAGCCAGGGCGACTGAGCGAGACTCAGTCTCAAAAAAAAAGCAGTCAAAGGAGAACCTCATCTGTCCCCCTTAACGTTTCTTTCAGCCCCACAACCCCACAGGTGCCCATACACTCTGGCTTCACTGTTAAAATGATGAACTGTCCATGTTCCTATTTAAGAGGTCCTCCACTCCACCACTAGATTGCATTCTTTCTCCTGTATTCACTGACTTCCTTCCAGCCTCATCCTTTCTTTCATACATCGTCAGATTTTCCTTCTGCTGGATCATTTTCACCAGCACAAGTGTGCTATTGATATCACCCATCTTTTTAAAAGGTGGGTGGGTGGGGGGAGTGTTGTTGGGAGGCCGGGTGGCTCACTCCCAGCACTTTGGAAGGCGAAGGTGGGAAGATCGCTTGAGGCCAGGAGTTTGAGACTGGCCTGGGCAACATAGTGAAACACCATTTCTACAAAAATAGAAAGTAAAAAAATTAGCCCTGGTGGTTCTGCACCCCTGTAGTCCTAACTACTCTAGAGGCTGAGGAAGGAGGGTTTGTTTCAATCTAGGAGTTTGGGGCTGCAGTGAGCTATGATCATGACACTATACTGCAGCCTGGGTGACAAGAGTCAGACCCTGTCTTAAAAAAAGTCATTTGGGCTGGGCACTGTGGCTCACGCCTGTAATCCCAACACTTTGGGAGGCCGAGGTAGGTGGATCACTTGAGGTCCAGAGTTTAAGACCAGCCTGGCCAACATGGTGAAACCCTGTCTCTACTAAAACTACAAAAAGTAGCTGAGCACAGTGGTTCGCACCTGTAATCCCAGCTACTTGGGAGGCTGAAGCAGGAGAATCGCTTGAACCCGGGAGGCAGAGGTTGCGGTAAACTGAGATTATGCCACTGCACTCCAGCCTGGGCGACAGAACGAGACTCCATCTCAAAAAAAAAAAAAAGAGTCATTTGATCCCACATTCCTCTCCAGCTTCTGCTGCATTTCTCTGCACTCTTTATAGGAAAACTTCTCAAAGAAGTTACCTGTACTTGGCTGGGCACAGTGGCTTACGCCTGTAATGCCAGCACTTTGGGAGGCTGAAGTGGGTGGATCACCTGAGGTCAGGAGATCGAGACCAGCCTGGCCAACATGGTGAAACGCTGTCTCTACTAAAAATTCAAAATTTAGCCCGGTGTTGTGGCAAGTGTCTGTAATCCCAGCTACTCAGGAGGCTTAGGCAGGAGAATCACTTGAACCCAGGAGGTGGAGGTTGCAGTGAGCCAAGATCGTGCCACTGCCCTCCAGCCTAGGTGACAGAGTACGACTCAGTCTCAAAAACAAAAGAAGGTACCTGTACTTTATGTGCTTTTTTGACCCCTTAACTCTTGAACACACTACATTCTTTTAGCAGATACTTACTCCATGCCTGTTTCGTGCCAAGTACCATTGTAGCTTAGAACACACAAAAATCCCTGTCTTTGTAGAACTTACACTTTAGTGTGGAGAGAAATAATAAAATAATAAGCAAATTATATAGGTTGTACAGCACCTGCTTAAGTCTGGTTCCTTCATCAGTGTACTAGATCCTATCCTTTGTAGTAGATTCCATTTTTGCCTGCTGCAGAATGTACTCTTGGCAGTTGTCCCTTCTCCTGCATCATCAGTTTTTCTTTAATCATTCCCATCAGCATATAAACATGCTGGTATTTCTCCCATCTTCAACTTTCTTAATTTCCACCTCTAACCATTCCTCATTTTTCTGTTCCCCTTATAGCAATATTTGTTAAAACAGTTATTGGTTAAATCTGTACTCGTCTCAGATTCCTGCTTCTCAAGAATCATCATTGACCGCCATATTGTTAACTTCAGCGGTCAGTTGTCAGTCTTGATTTTACTTGAAAAATTTTGCAGTTTTCTCCAACAGCACTGAGCCATAGTAAAGAAGTTAACTTACAGGTTTGGTCTAAAGTTAAAAATTAACATAATAGGCCAGGCACAGTGGCTCATGCCTATAATCCCAGCACTTTGGGAGGCTGAGGCGGGCAGATCACCTGCGGTCGGGAGATCCAGACCAGCCTGACCAACATGGAGAAACCCCATCTCTACTAAAAATACAAAATTAGCCAGGCGTGGTGGCGCATGCCTGTAATCCCAGCTACTCAGGAGGCTGAGGCAGGAGAATCACTTGAACCTGGGAGGCAGAGGTTGCATTGGGCCAAGATTGTGCCATTGCACTCCAGCCTGGGCAACAAGAGCGAAGCTCCGTCTCCAAAAAAAAAAAAAAAAAAATTAACAGTTAACAGATGCAGCAGAAATACAGTCATAAAAGGAATTCAAGGAAACAATTACAGGCTTGTTGGGAAGGAAATGAGACCAGAAAGAGTAAAATAACTTTTGAGAAAACAGATCACAGAATTCAAGAGCTCAGTGAGGCTGAAGTGGAAATGCTATGGCAGTGAGGTTTTGAATTACCAGTAAGGATGATCTGAGAGTATATTTGAGCTTAAGATTTCAGAAAAGGTACAAGTAAAATCTGTGATCTTGCTGTAGAACCAAATGGCAGAATGAACTGGAGGTGAAAGTTTTTAGAGTTGCAGGACCCATGGTCACCCACATAAATGTTTATTTGTCCTAAATGATTGCAGGACCTTGTGAAGAACACTGTGTACCGGTCACTGTAGTCCACAAATAAGTGGGGAGGAATTGGCTGAATGAGACAGCCACGTGCCAATAGCAGGCGAGTTGCAGGGTAATAGAGCCCTGAGTTTTGATCTTCAGACAGAGGATGTTTTTTTTGTTTGTTTTCTCTACATTAGGTAGAGAAACAGTGATTGTGAAGCTGAAACTCCATGAGGTCAGGGACTGGCGCTGTCTTGCTCACCCCTCATTCCATGTCTACTACAGTGCTCTCTGTACATAGTAGGTGCTCAGTAAATTCTTTTCATTGAATGAATTAGCACTCTACAGAGTCCTGTAGGAGAGGTAATGACTTGAGGAAGAGA